TTTCTCATTTTTTCTTTTGGGATAGGGATCGACAGATGTTTAAGCAGCTATTCTTTAAATGGGTTGAGGAGTTTGGGGACGGGTTCTCAGCGCTCCTAAGAATCATGTCAGATCTTTTCAATATTCTCCAATATACCAGCTGCAACTTCCCATTTCAGGTTTTCATTATCTCTTAACTTGGATGAGCTCCCAGCCAGTTCCCGGCTTTCACTGAGCAGTTTCTTCTGGTGCGTGTGCATCACCTGGAACAGCATTACCTGGAAAAGTCTGCAGATTCTGAATCCGAAGACCCACCAGGGAGTCTGCGCTTTCAGCAGGTCCCCAAAGGAGGCCAGGCTGTGGTCTCTGCACAGATGTACACACATGCAGTTTTTAGAATGTCTACCATGTGCCAGGTGCTCAGTAAACATGGAAGACAGGGCAAGGGAGGGAGGTGGACAAAGTCTGGAGTAACCAGGAAGGAAGGGAGATGGGTATGGATTCAGGTACTGACGTGACGTATGATATCATATTATTTAGTCCTCACAAAACTCAAAATGGTCATTGCCTTCTCAGAATTACAAATGCTTTCAAAAGGATGTGTGAGCCATTTGACAAGCTGGTTAACGCCTTGCTGTCGAGGCGGTGCCTCTGTGTGACTATCTGACATCACCCTGAACTTCCATGGCCAATACTAATGGCCTCAGGGTCTGCAGGGCAGAAGACTTGGCCAGCTTAAGTGCCATAAGAACACTTATCTCCAACAGACAATGTGAAAATACTATTTATCGTGAAATTAAAATGTTTATTAACAACTGATGTTCCCCAGCTTTGAATTTGGAGCTTTCTGGAGTTCATCACGGCAAATCCATTAGAAATAGGGTGTAATGAAATATACAGGGCGCGGCAAAAGTAGGATTACAGCTGTGAGTAAGTGAAACACAGAGTTTATTCTTTTATTATTCATTAGTTACTGTATTATTTTCCATACGAACAACTCTAAATCTACTTTTGCCCCACCTTGAAGATGGACTTCAAAGGGAAAAACTCAGAGTAACCAGAAGACAGAGTTTTTTTTGAAAGTTTTATTCTCATGTTAGCCTTTCAAAACTGGAGACAGAGTCATAAACCAACAACTATTGTACAGAGTGACTGATGCTTTAGTAGCAGGATATGTAGGGAATTGTGGAGACGTAGCAAAGGGGCACCGAACTCACCTTAGGGCTGCAGAAAAGCTTCTTTTATGAAAGGCACTGAGGCTGAATCTGGAGCAGCTGGCAATAGCCAGGTGGACGAGGAATGTGCAGGCCCAGGGTGTGTGCCCAGCGTGTGCAGACGCGGGGCCCGCCAGGTGTCTTAACAGGAGTGGGACACTGAGGCGGGGGATGGGCTAATGGGGGAATACAAATCAAGGAAAAAACACTTGAGGTAAGCCTAGGTGTGACATTGTAAGGACCCTGATTAGAAAACACTGGGCAATTTTTAATGAGAAAATACTCGGTGTCCACTTCCTAATACTGGCCCAATTTTTCTGAATTCTCACTGTGGAAAAAGCACGTCTGTACACTGTAGTTTCTAAACTGCACCGTATTCAGAGTTACACGGAAACATGTTCACAGAAAGTACTTGGAATTCTTCTAAGTGCGCCTGATGTGATTTTTATGAGCACTGCTAATTTCTTTCCACATGAATAGCTTTAATAATGCCGCAATGTAAATCCTCTTTAGTTTATATTGTTTTCTGTTTTTCAGTGATCTTTCAACTGCATGCAAAATTGAATTTAGATACTGAAAATAGATAGAGATTGGAAACAATTAGATATTGAGAACAGTTCAGTATTGAAAATGACCACTCCCAGTACACCTCTGCAGCCGTTCAAAGAGAGCTACTGTCTTGCTTCTTATAAAGTCATTTCTTGCCTGGCAACAGATGCTGACTGGACTCACCAATCGTGCCGTAACGAGTGTTTTTACATTTAATTTGAGTGTGAGTATGTCAGTCATACATGGGCCTGCCAGTTTCAGAAAGTTCAGAAATGAGGATGAAATGAGTTTCCAAAACTATGTACTTCTTTCAAGCTAATGGAACTCTGTCTACTATTATTTGTTAAAATGTTAGAAAGTCTCTTTCCTACTTACTTTTTAAATTGCATATTTTCTTATTTATTTATATATTGATTTATTTTTATTTTAAATGTATCTTTATTGTTGAAAGTATTACAGATGTCCCTCCTTTATCCCCCGTTGACCCCCTCCACCCCTCTCCTGCCCTGCCCCCACCTTCACCACATTGTTGTCTGTGTCCATGGGCAGTGGGTGTATGCATAGACCTTCTCTGGTTCATCCCTTCCTGCTCCCCTCCCCCTTCCCTCTGAGATTCTTCCGTCTGTTCCCTGCTTCCGTGTCTCTAGATCTATTGTGTGTGTGTGTGTGTGTGTGTGTGTTGTGTGTGTGTGTGTGTGTATATATATATATATGTGTGTGTTTTTTTGCCTAATCCTAAGAACACTCTTTCTCTTTCTGAAAACTATCAGCAAACTATAATCTGCTCGTGAATTCATGTTCTAGGTCTTGGGGTGAAGAACAATAACATTTGGTTTTTAGACAATTCAAGCAAGCACATATTTTCTTCCTGACAGTAAATTAGGATATTTATGAACTGTGCGACCACAAGCAAGGGAGAAACAGCCACCAGTTTGTGAGGGAAAGAAAGGTGGAAGGCTGCTCCTCTGTCCCCGTGAGCCGGGTCACAAAAACGAAGGTTTTTCCTCTTTGTGTTACGTAGAGATGAAAGTCACAGCAGGGGGAAACGTACATGAAGTCAGTGTTCTCTTTTTTTGTTGTTATTTTTTGAGACAAAAAAAGATTTCTTATACACATTAGGTTTATTTCTACTGTCTTTCTGTAGGTCGGCTCTCCTCCACACCCTGGCAGGGAGAGCGTGACAGCGTGTGCGGGAGGCAACATTCCTCCCGGCTGTAACTGCAGTGGCTCTCTGCACATAAGGCTAACTTATGGGCCTCTTCGTGGCCCGAACGTGATGTTAAGTTGTATGATGGATTTTATCTTATACAAGCCGTTCAGGTCCACAAAATGAGATAAGAAACCACTGCAGCTGAAGTTCACTGAGGGTTGAACTTAGACTGAAACTCCAGACTTAACAACATTGTATGAGCAGCTATGATACTGAACAAGTGTGTTCTGTGCCTATGGGTTGAGATGTTCAAAAAAATGTGAGTCTGTCACTTGCAGGGTGACCCCGGAGGCATTTCCCCGGGCCAGTTATCTCCTCTGGCAAAGGTGCAAAGGCAGAGGGGGCAGCTGTGCACAGAAAACGCCCCAGCCCCCACAGCCATGGCAGCCGGGAGGCCTGGATGGTGGCTGACCACAGTGCTTTCGTCCTGGAGAAGGCAGAGCACGCTGCACACGCACTGGGTAGGCTGATCCCGCCTTCGTGCAGTGTGTGTACCTGCAGTGTGGGTACCTCCTGGGCAGGCAGCAGCCACCGCAGTGAAGTTGTGCCCTGTCTGGGAGGGGCCTCTGGGAAGAGAGGTATGCAGAGCATTTCCACGGTGCTCTACAGAGGTCACAAAGCACTCCACAAATGCAGGTTTTGTATGATGAATGTTGCCTCCTAACAACAATGGTTGACTCCAAAGCATCTGGTGACTACAGTAAAATAAAACTCCTTTACCAAATATGAATCACCTCTGTCCAGTCATCTGGAGTGTATATGTGTATATGTATGTATATGTATACATATGGATGAGTGTTTATATATAGAATACATAGTAACATGTAAACATTATAATATACACTGCATGCCTACACGCACACAGTGCATGAGGATATTTCTGATGTTCCTCCATTGGAGGGAACATCATACACACTCAGTATTTGTCAAATGAGTAAGAATCTGAATCTTCAAATTCTAACTTTGCTCCTTATTTTTAGAATTCAGACTCTACCCCGTTTACTAGAAAAATATAGACTATTTTTCTTAAATCATATTTTCCAGGGGTACAAAAATACCAGTGAAAGACTCCTGCCTTTAAGTTTGCCTGGAAAATATGCAATGAGCCTTCAGCAGTAGGATTGATTAATGTTGTAATAACTAACATATAACTTCCGGTTCTCATTAACTTGGTCACCTGCAAACTTGCTTTTTCTCCGCCTCCAAACCATACAGCACAGGCCTGCCCAGTAACCATGGTAACCATATTCCCATGCAGGCAGGTCTATCCACTTCCTTTGAAATACACGTGATCACATATTTACCAGTGGAACCTCGTCCCCCACTTCTGTCCCGTCCCCCGCCACACGCACACCTTAAACCAGGTACGGATAGGTTTTCAGTAGCCTTCCCAAGCAAACGCTGACTACCCCGGGTCCTCCTTTGTTGAAAACAAGGAAATATTCTATTTTCAGCCTCATAAAATACGTTATACTGAACCTCAAATGAAATTAGTTTTGAACTGTAGTAGAACAAGAATTGACTTATTCCTACTACCACCTCGGGAACAATACCTTACATTACAACCAGTTTTAAAGTAATTTAATCTGTCGTTCACAGTTTGACACTAACTCAGCTGATTCTGTAAGTCAAAAAACCGGTATCACCGAATAATTACTTCTGATGGAAAGAATAAAGAAGTGAAGTGGAGGCTACATAGGTTACTAACAGGTTTTGAGCTAGACTTGAGAAAGGGAACCAGGGTTGGGGGAAGAGTGAAATTGTACAAATTACAAAGAATGCCCGGGACAGATCTGAACTTGAGCTCAGCGAGTCGGTAGATGAAAGGGGGAATCTTCCTTTGTTTCTTGTATGTCTCTGATGCCAGGGAGTTAGATGGGAAAAGACAAGCTAAGTGATGATAGAATGATTAGTCTCAGGAAAACTAATTTGTCAAATTCTGAAAATGAGTCCGTTAGGATGGGCTGCGCTGTCTTTTGCGAGGAACCAATGTAAGGTACATTTTCTGGCCTTGACATGATCTGTACTTGGCGGTTTTCCATTTCCAGACGATAGCAAGTTTTCAGAGGCTATCACAGTGCTGCTTTCCTGGATCGAGCGGGGCGAAGTGAACCGCCGCTCCGCCAACCAGTTCTATTCCATGGTGCAGTCGGCCAACAGCCACGTCCGCCGGCTGATGAACGAGAAGGCCACCCATGAGCAAGAGATGGAGGAAGCCAAGGAGAACTTTAAAAATGCCTTAACTGGAATTCTCACCCAATGTAAGTAAGACTTTGGGGGCCATCTGTCTTGTTGTGATTTTGCCTTTTCTTTTTGTTCATTTTATTTTTTTCATTTGGGGGTAAGTAGTTCAATAATTTCCCATTTTGCTCCATATTGAATGGCAAGCCTCATGACCTATTTCATGTTCTGTGGCAACTTGGAGGAACACGGACCTGCCCTGAGAGCTTACTTCTCAAGGTGAGCAACGTTTCTGTAGCTTTTCCTCAGACCACCAGCCCGGCCCCCAGGCCAGGGCAGCCCAGTGCACCTGTGCGTGCTGGACCGCCGCAGTCCCACCACGCCTGTGGCTGTCCACACCCCGCATGTCCTCCTAGTGCTGACAGTAGGAAGAGACCCGCAACACATTGTCCTTGGGCTCTGTGTAGGAAGACGATACCGTCAGAAAAACTCCTGCTCAGGATCCTTTATTTGAGGTGAGCATTTGACTGTCAACATGGACTACTCAGGAGCAGAGATTTTTTTCTGCAGTATTGTATTTTGTCCTTTCTTCATTTGGAAAGCAAATTGCCTTAACTACTTAATGCTGGCGATTTTTCATGTCCATGTCCTAAATTGATGAAGGAGTGTAAATGGGGCTTTCTCATAGAACAATAGTCAGGGTAATTACCCAAGGCTCTATTCAAAAAAAGGGCGTATATTTTTTATGGGCACTCTGTCTGTGTCTGTACTTAAGGTCACAGTGGCATAATGCATCACAGTGGCTGATGTCCCCTCGCTTGGTAAAAGCCATTGAATGACACTGGAACAATGCCGTGCTCCATTCCACCCCGTGCAGGGCCTCACCGGGGAGGGTGACACATGATTTACATATTCATTCTGAGAATAAGTGTTACTGCTGTCAGTGACCTGATGTGCCAAAATGCTCAGCCCCTCTAGGATCAGTGTGAACCCAAGGGTTAATGTATCTGTTAGGATGAGAAGAGAAAGGAGCATGCAAAACCAGGACCTTTTATGTAAGTGTTTTATGTAGCTTTGTTGTCAAAAGACCATTTTTGTAGCAGCATAAAATATTATCTAAGAATCTCAAACATAAACTCTGATAAGTGACCAAATATCCAGTATGAGACCCACCCGGACACCTGTCTTTATACAAAAGGAACAGGAAAAACAGAACTGCTCTGTCTCATCCAGGCCACTATCAGAGACCTCACCTAGATTCCCATCGTGAGGAATGACGCTTTACCCAACTGGGACTGTCCAGCAGCTCTGAGGTTAGGGTCACTGGGGAGAGGGTAAAGAACACTAATATCAGCACCACCTTGCAAAGGAGGGGGGCGAAGAATGGATTTGTGGGCGGAGGGAGGGCGGGAATGATGAATTAGTAATGGAGAGAAGGGAGAGAGGGAAAAGCCACGCAATTCTAGTAATGCAATTCCTGTAAGGTTATGGCAAGAAGCCAAATGCCTGCACAATAAAATGATCACTGGCACCCATTCTAAATAAGTCCCCGTTCCTATGCAGCTATAGGCAAAACGTACAGCCCCACCCGGCAGGGAGGCCTGGACCCTTGACTCTAACAATGAAGGCCGAGGCAGCCACATATTGAAAAAGGGAAGGAATTTCGTTTTCTTTGGCAACATCTATTGAAAGAAGCACCTATTAAAACAAGGCTCCAATCATGTGGCTGAAAGAATTCGAGGTGCCTGCCTAACAGGACACAGTATAAGCTGCCTCGGTTTGAAACCACTGAAAGCCAGACAGAGAAGGCTAGTGTGTGAAGGTCCAAATCTCGGCGTTTCGGTACTAGAACAGTCGGATTGGGAGAGGAGGTCGAGCTCTGTGCCGGGAACGGTACGGGCTTCCCAGCGGGTTGAGCGTCTGGCCGCAGGCAGCCCTGACCCGCACAGACCTGTCCCCTGGAGTCTGAACCGGCAGGTGCGCGTGGAGGACCAGTGAGCATGAGCGTCTCGCCAGGCAGGCGGCCTGGCGCAGCTGAGAAGGAGAGAACGAAGCGCGGGCGCAGGGCCGGGAATTCTGGAGGGAAATCCCGTCTCGTGGAACCCACGGGAGGGGCGCGCACTCTCCTAGACCCTCCTAGGTACCTCAACTGCAAAATATCAAAAATTGACTTCTTGCTTTTAATCTTCAAAAAAATATAGTGAGAGAGAGAGAGACAGACACAGAGACAAAGAGACAGATTCTGGAATCACATAAGGAAAAGAAGAGGAAAAAAGCAAAACTAGCAAGAAAGCCAAACGTGCCCCAAGGGCCCAGCAGACTTCCGTTCACCTCGAGCTGCAGAACTGTCGCGCGGCCTTGACACCTGCGAAGAAGACGGGCACGTGCTGTGTGACTGGGCCCTGTGCTCTGCGGAACAAAACGAGGAGTTCTCCTTGTGAGGAGGAAGGGCAGGGTGGCCGGTGGGAGGCACGTTTGCAGTTTCTGCCAAGCACACAGGGGTGGGCAAACGTGGGCTTACAGCTGTGAGTCCATGAAACACAGAGTTTATGCTTGTGTTCGGTATTTTTCCACACGAACAACTGTGAGCCTACTCTTGCCCACCCCTGTAGTTTCCCCCTCTCCGCTTTCCCGAGGTCCAGGCCACGTTTCACACATGCTCTGACGTAATTCAGATCCTATCTTCCCCACTGAAATCCCGAGCGTCTTCCCATTTCACTCCAACCCTGCCCTGGCTGAGAAGGCTCTCCACGCCTGCCTCTCAGGGTCGTTTTCCCGATTCATTCTGTGTCCCTTCCTGCTGGGCCCTTCAGAGCCTCGGGCCTTGGCACATCTGCTCCCCTGTCTGATGAGCCCCCCCTCCCCCCCCCCCGGGCCGGCTCAAACCCTTCTCCTTTAGGCCTTGGCTGAAACGCTACTCCTTTAGAGAGGCCTTTCGGTCCACCCTCTTCTAAGAGCGTCACCGTCACTGCATCTTACAGGTCCCTTGGAGCACTTATCAGAATGTGTAATGATTCAGTGATACGTCTGCTTTTGATTATTGCAAGTGTCACAAAGGAATCAATACATATGAAGTGCCTGGAACATAGAAACGCCACACGTACTTGGGGCTGAGTGAGTGGGGAATGAGCACGTTGGAGAGGGCAGGAAGGAAGCCCGACGCGGCGAGGTCAGGAGTTTCCAGGGACCGCCTGCAGCAGTTTGGCTTTGGTGGTAGAACTGCCTGCCGATAACGAGCTTCAACTTGCATATGTAATCAAGCAAATCATAGAAAGAACTTGCATTTGGTGGAAATTGCTACACTTTCCCAGACATGTGGCCGTAGTCTAGGGAGGATGAGCAGAGTTGGAGTGGAAGAGTCAACAGAAACATTCATTTCTACAAATTCCCAATGGTAACCAACTGTCCAACAACCTTCGCATTTCCTGGATTCCTATTGCTCTTTGGGAGATGCCACTTGGCCCTGTAATTTGATTCGGGGAAATATTTTAGCAGCCAGCAGGTATCCAAAGAGATTACGAAAATCGAGCTGATCTTGACAGCCTTCAGTACTGGCTAAGGGGTACACATCCCAGCCACAGAGTGCCTGAGAAGCCCCCCGGAGTCCTCGAGGGTCACGCCCTTCAGGACCACTGGAAGAGGACGGGAGATGCCTTACCCGTGAGCCTGAACCGGATTGAAGCCCATGAGGTAGAAGAGGGAGATTGCAGAGCTCTCTGAGAAGCCTCGGGGTGTGTCATTCTCTGCCATGTGCCCCTATGAAGCCGACTGCTCCCCAGATGCACAGGGGAACCAAACCCTAACATTCATCCTAAAAATATTAGCAGTAACCTGGCTAAACTGGAGGTCGGTGCTCATTTCATCATCCTTTGAATTTTAAATATTTCTCCTTTCGTGGCTGGTGGAGCTAGGTTTATTTGTCTAGCCATATTTTTGCTTTCTCCAGCGTGGTTCTGTGTGGTGGGGTGACTTTGGCATCAGTGCGTAGAGTTGCTCCTAAAGGAGTAACTGTTAAAGTCCACAGCGATCAACGTACTCGCCGTGTTTCCCCAAACAACTGGTCACCCTCCCCCCTTCATCTGCATTATTTTCCTGGCAAATAGCGTAGAAATCACATTTTGCTTTTCTCACTTAGAATTAGGTTAGGGTTGGTAAGCACCGAAATTCAGGAATGCATCTCAGCTCTCTTTCTCCCAGTGGCTGGCGCTCTTTCAGTTATTCCCAAGTCGCCGCGAGTGCTCCCTCCACAGACCAGACCCCATGGGTCAGCACCCTTCTCCACGGCCTCCATGCGGCCTCTCTGTCGGGGAGCCGGTGGTGTGGGGAAATCCTCTGAGGCCGTTTGGAAGCAGGTATGTTGATGACCGAGCTATGACAGCAAGGGTGGCTGTCCTGCTGTCCTGAGGGAGGGCTCTGTAGACACTTCAGGAAGCCTCTGGAACATTGCAGAGTTCCCAGCACAGTCAATGTGGTGAAATAGCCCGGGGTTGAGCAGGAAAGGGAATTTCATTAAGCGATAGCCCATTAAGCTGGATAACCCCTTACCTTGCTTTCATTTCTGTCCTTGCTTTCATATTTAAGCAAGTCACATTTGCTAGAAGAGAAAACATTAAGAGCCATTAATAATAACATAAAGCAAAACATTATTTATTTCAAGGTCTACATCAAAGCTTAGCAGCTACCTTCTAGCTGTGTTGGTGCTGTGTTCTGTCAACATTTGTTTACGTTCTAACCTCTCTTCATATGTCTGGCTCACCCCGGGATCAGCTAGTAAGTATAATCACATAAGCATAGTTTCCATCCAGGGGCAGCAACTGAACCCAGCCAGGCATTTGGGGGAGTATAACATGCGTTCAGTTCTGTTTGGGGTCACTGTTTGCCTTCCGACCATGGATGTGCACTTATCAACAACGTTAGATGAGGACATCATCCCTCCTGGTGTGGCACCTGGAGCTGTCTCCTTTCTGGGCCAGCTGGGTAGATCTCGTTTGCTAGATATGCAAGAGGGAAAAATTCCAGCACATATGAATCATCTCGTTCATATGCTATCGTGTCCTTAGATCATCCTTGTCCCGTGTTT